TTAAAACTGAACATAAACATGTATTCTAATTTAATTTAATTAATTAATTAATTCAATCATTTTTTTTAATAATTTAATTTAAAAAAATTTTTTTTTTTTTTAATTTTTCCTTTTTATAGAGAGTACAGGCTATTTTACTGTCGGGCTTGCTCGACTGTAGCGTTCTATCTTGTTTTTCTATAATTATTGTAAACATATGTACAGAGTATTTCAAAGTCGGGACACCCGACTTTAGCTTTTTTACTTGTTATACTCTGTACATGAAATGTACAGAAGTATATTAGGTTTGCGGGAGCTGAAAAATGTAACAGGCAGAAGGAGGCGTGGCAGACCCCACAAAGTATATATATTCTTGATCAGCATGACGAGACGAGTCGATCTAGCCCTGTCTGTCTGTCCGTCCGCCTGTCCGACTGTCCGTCTGTCCGTCCGTATGAACACCTGGATCTCAGAGATTATAAGAGCTAGAGACACCAAATTTTGCACAAAGATGCCTTATGTATGTATTCTATACGAGTTTGTTTTATTTTTTTGATTTTCCCCCCACTTCCCCCCTATGGGGGTTTTCCCGATTTTCCATTCGTATTATCGCCTATATCTCGGAGACTATAAGACCTAGGAACACCAAATTTTAGTCCAAGATGCCTTGTGTGAATACGCAGAAAATGTTTATTTTGGAATTTCCCTCCCTCCCTCCTTTCTCGCGAAAATCGAAAATCTAACTCCCGTAATTCTTGGAATTTTGAACTCAAAATTGACGAATTCCCCCAGTTAGTAATTATGTGTCCGTATGCCAAGTTTCACTATGATAGACCGATTTAACAAGAAGTTACAGTCATAAATATATTTGCTGCTGCAGCGCTGCTCAAGCGCTGCCCGCGGCTGTTGTTGATGCTGGTGCTTTGGTTGACTGCACACATGTTTACACAGACACGAATAGATGCGCATAGGCATACATACACTCATACAACCGCAATTGCTATGTAAATGTGCAATTATACACCCTTTACGTGAGTTCGAATACCGAGAAAGGTAAAATCGAACAAAATTTTTTTTTTTTTAATTTTCTTAATTTTTTTTATCTTCTATAATTATTGTAAACATATGTACAGAGTATTTCAAAGTCGGAACCCCCGACTTTAGCTTTTTTACTTGTTTTTAACGCTGGTCACTAGATTCAAATATCGAGGTTTCTTTTGAAGACACAGCATTTAAAATATTGTGAGATATAAAACAGTTTGTCCTGACTGGCTAATTGGAAACTTGGAGGAGAGTAGTTTTGAAAAATTCAAAGGTGGAAAAATGTACTTCAAACTTTATATAAAAACAAGTACAAAAGCTAAAGTCGGGTATGCCGACTTTGAAATACTCTGTACATATGCTTAGAATAATTATAGAAATTTCAAAAATTAAGAATATAAAAATAAAAATTTGATAAATTTTACCTATCTCGGTATTTCAACTCACGTAAAGGGTGTATAATTGCACATATACATAGCAATTGCGTCTATGTGAGTGCAGGAATGTCTATGCGCGCCTATTCGTGTCTGTGTGAGCATGTTTGCAGTCCACCAAAGCACCAGCATCAACAACAGCTGCGGGCAGCGCTTGGCAATTATATTTATGGATATATAATTATTATTAATTTATGTCGTAGATGTCGGACGTATTTTTATTTCGCTTCGCCGTGTGTTAAAAATATAGTGCAATTAACGCCAAATTAACCAAATTAATTCGCGAAAAGACGCTCAGGGTAAATTGATCATACTATATATTGTAATTAAAACTAAGGCAAACGAACTACAAAAACAAGACGAACGTCGACTTTCGTCACTTCGTAACAACGCGTACTGCAAGCTTATTCGGAAAGAGAACGCACTCTCGCTCCTGCGATAATAAGCTCACCCAGCACATTGCACAGTGGGTTATGGAGGGCCGTATGCAGTGTATGCAGTGTCCGTCTCCAGACCCCGACTGTCATTTCCAGTGAATACTGATAACAACGACTACCAGTACAATGCCCTCGCTTTCAACTTTGTATTCGACTTCGACAACGACAACTATAACAACAACAACAGCAATCTCTCTGCGCCCGGTATTGTCAACTCACTGCGACCTCCCCCAGACATCAGCGGTAATACAGACTGGGCTCGATCGCTATGTGCAAATTTAACGAAAACGAAGCCCACAAGCGACTAAGAAAAACAACGCACCCAAAATAACTAAAACAGCAAAAAACACAAAAAACAAATTCTATGTTACGTCTATAAAAACAGGGGTAGCATAAAAGAAAGTAAAATACAAGTCAATGATGAAAATACCTATCGATCACTGGTCAAATACCTCGACGATGAAAAGATGAACTACTACACCTACCAACTTGAAAGTAGCAAGGGATTACAAGTGGTTATCAAATGAATCGGGCAAATGGTTCCAGTCAGCGAGATAAAAGATGGACTTAAAGATAAGGGCTTTGAAGTCAAAATGGCAATGAACATAATAAATAGAAATAAAATTCCCCAACCAATGTTCAAGATAGAACTGACACCTGACTATGCCTATAAATAAAAACGAAGTTCACCCAATTTACAATTCACCTAACAAACACAAACTTTTTTCATCTCAATGGCTACAACTTCTATGCGACCAATCATCCCGATGGTAGGGCTAATGGAGGTACTGGAATCCTGATAAAGCGTCGCATCAGGTACTATCCGTTGCCATCATTGGCTACAACTTATCTACAGGCCACAAGAATTCATATCGAAATACAAAGCAGCTTGTGACTACAATTCCAAACACACACATTGGGGATCCCCACTCATCAACCCAAAATGAAGACAACTATATAACGCTATAATAACATCACGAAACAAGCTTGACTTTATTTCTCCGGGCTGGCCTACGTATTGGCCCACAGATCCAAAGAAGCAACCAGACTTGATTTATTTTGCTGTTACAAGAAGAGTGCCACAGGCTCAGATTTGTGTGGAGCACTTAACAGATCTATCATCGGATCACTCGCTAATCTTTCTTCATCTTTATGACCACCCACAGTACTCGGAGCGCCCACACTTTTTAACTTCTAGAGAAACAGATTGGCTTAAATACAGGAAGCAAGTTCCCATATTGACGGCTGCCCAAACATTAATTGTAAAGATGACATAGGTACCTCATTTGAAGACTTAGTGTCTGTAATGTCACTGGCGACAAAGCACTCCTCTCCAATAATTGCAGCTAATAAACTTCACAAAACAGTCGTGTCGTGGCATACTGAAGAAGTCAACCGAATAATCTCTGAGATACAAAATGCATTTGAAAAACGAGAGCATTGCTCCGATGTTTTTCTGGATGTCGCCCAAGCTTTCGACCACGTTTGGCTGGATGGCACAAAATCAAAATATTACTTCCATAGAACATCCATAAAATACTGGATACCCACAGCAAAGAAGTTTCGCAGTTAGATGCAAAGATTTCCTCTCCCAATAACATCCAATTGAACCTGGGAGCGTGCTTGGACCGACACTGTATATCATATACATAGCAGATATACCGACAAACAGTCATATAACAATTTCGACATTTGCTGATGATACTGCCATCCATTGTCGCTAAACAACATCAATATTCCAAAAAAAAAAACGATTTAACTTACCTTGGTGTCTATTTGGATAGACGGCTCACTTGGCGCAAGCACGTCGAAGCGAAGAGAGATCAACTGAAACTAAAAGCTATTAATCTACATTGGCTTATAAACGTCCGTTCACCACTAAAACTGGAGTACAAAGTACTCTTTTACATTGCAATTCTCAAACCAATTTGGACATATAGCTCTGAACTATGGGGAGACGGTTCCATTAGTAATTTAGAGTTAATCGAGAGAGCTCAATCGAAGATACTGAGAACCATCACTGGTGCACCCAGGATCTGTTGGATCTGTTAAAGATGAAATCGCCAAGGTGAAAGCAAAGTCCCAGCTTCAGCTAGGGAACCACCGAAATAGACTTGCGCAGAATTTAACTTGTCAGGGTAGGCATACACGACTCCGGCGAAGAGACCTCCCAATCCAGCAATAACAGTTAAGGCCGTAATTCAAATATTTAATTGTAATTAATTAAAGATTAATTAATTATCGTAAGACTCCGAGAGAAAAGATTCGATAAATAAAGAAAACTTAAAAAAATGACTGATCCTGCTAAATCGTTCTATCATAATTAAACTTGGCATACGGACACACTAACTGGGTTTGAGTTTGAGTTCGAAATTGCGTTGAAGTGGAGGGAGGGAGGGAAATTTCAAAGTACACATTTTGTGCGTATTCACATACAGCATCTGGAACTAAAATTAATCTAAATCTAGGTCTTTTAGTCTCTGAGATATAGGTGATTATACGAATGGAAAATTGGGAAAACCCCCATAGGGGGAAGTTGGGGGAGAATCAAAAAAATAAAACAAACTTGCATAGCGTATACATATAAGGCATCTTTGTGCAAAATTTTGTGTCTCTATCTCTTATAGTCTCTGAGGTAAAGGTGTTCATACGGACGGACAGACAGACATGGCTATATCGACTCGGCTTGTCATGCTGATCAAGAATATATAATAATTGTGGGGTCTGCCACGCCTCCTTCTGTCTGTTACTTTTTCAGCTCTAGCAAACCTTATATACTATTGTACTATAGATCTCATGTACAGAGTATAAATACGAATTTTTCAATTGGACGGTTTTTTGGTTTTGATACTCTCAACGTTTTTTTTTTAATTTTTCTTGGAACTGAATGAGCAGAATTTTAATTTTTTTCGTCAGATATTAGCTATTTTTGAAATCGATACATTTGGGTTATTCCTTTTTAATATACTATAACTTAATAAAACACAAGTTATTTTGACACTCATACATATGCAGTTGGTTACTTTTTTATATGGCATAAATTAATGTGATTTTTATTTATGGTTTTATTTACATGTGCATTAAAAACAATTACATTATTTACTCTTACCTTGGCCATCAGAAACATTGGCAATATTATCATTTTTTGAAGTCGGATGTCTAAGGTACCAGGATAAGAGATTAATATCGGTTCGAACTTTATCCGAATCGTACATTGGCCTTCTAATGTTATAGGATTTATCGCCACAAATCCTTACAGAGGCAAGATGACTTTTACCTTATATTTAATATTTAAGAAATAGTATTTAATACCGTTTTCAGTTTACCACAACTACTTTAGATCATTACTATATTCAATGCAATAAATATCAAAATAATGTAATGCTAATTTCACAAACTTACCTACAAATTTCACAGCTGGTTTTGGATAATGTGAAATGTTGTGAACTTCCTTTGCGATGTGACGTACTGGGTTTGTAATTCTAGCGACGTACGCATCAAGAGCTAGTTGAGACGTTGGCTCATAGCTGTACCTGTATACAGAATATAAAATAATATATAATTTATTATATAATTTTAAATAGCTAATAATATAAGCGGGGACCCTATACGCTCCAATTATTATACCCTGTACCAGTAGGGTTAAAAGGTAGGTAGCATAAAAAGGCAATAAAAACACAACAGCATTCCTTAGCATTAATTTCTTGTCTTATTACAATTTCGTTTCGTGTTTTTTCTCAATTATGTTAATTTAAAAAAAAAAAAACAAGAAAGGAGTGCTAAAGTCGAGCAGGCTCAAATCTTGCCCTGTACCACCCCACCAAAAAAAAAAAAAAAATTATTAAAAAAATTTAATTAATTAATTAAATTAAATATAAAATATTCCATACATGCATACATACATTTACATCAGAATCGTGTCTATTCGTGTTGGTGTACTTGTACATATGTATGTATGTGTGCATTGGGCCTGGTTATATGGCTATAACTTTCTTTCTAATCACCCTATCATAATGAATAATGGTATACGGATATATAATCACTAACTGGATGTGTCTACCAAATTTTAGTTCAAAATTAAGGGAGTTATAGAAAATTGCGAATAGTGGGGGAGTGTGGGGGTGCATCGGGAAAAATGAACAAACTCGTCCTTTCTCGGGCTCAGGAGAATCTGTATACCAAGTTTGGTTATTCTAGCTCTATACTTTCTGAGATCCTTGCGTTCATAAAGACAGACCGACAGACAGACGGACAGACGGACATGGCTATATCGACTCGGCTTGTCATGCTGATGAAGAATATATATACTTTGTGGGGTCTGCCACGCCTCCTTCTGCATGTTCCATGTACACTCGCACAAAACGAATATACCCTTGTACCCTTTGGGTACAGGGTATAAGAATATTATACACATAGGTACGGAGTATTTTAAAAGAGTATTTTGAAATACTCTGTAAATATGTTTACAATAATTATAGAAAATAAAAAAATTAAGAAAATTAAAAAAACAAGTAAAAAAGCTAAAATCGGGTGTCCCGACTGGCAAAGGAAATTTTTCTTTGCTAAACGAACTTATTGCAGCAACTAATTGGTCCTATTTGTATAGTGCTGTTGACATCAACATTTGATGCCTGCATCCCAAAAAGTGTCATTTCGTCTGCGTCATCAAAACCTCCTTGGTTTTCACCAAGACTTTCAAACTTAAAAAATGTTAAATCTAGATGCTTTAAAAAGTATAAGCAGTCGGGCCTATCTATTGACTTCTATAAATACTCTTTAGCGAAATCCAATCCTGTCCTTAATTCACAATGTTATAATAATTACCTTGCCCGATGCAAGATACAATTTGCACAGGACCCTAAACAATTCTATAAGTTCGTTAACTCTAAGCGTAAATCTGCTTCCCTTCCTTCGTCATTTTTCCTTGGTGACAAAAAAGTCAGCAACGATTCTGAAGCATATTCACATATTCCTCTGTCTCCATTAGTAATACCTCTTATCCTTATAGCATTTCATCTTCCCACACTATTTACGCTCCCATAATTTCTGATAGCTGTCTACTCTCTGCTATCAAATCCTTAAAATCTTCATACTCTCCTGGAGCAGACAACATTCCTAGTTGTGTTCTCAAGGAGTGTTCTAGTTCCCTTTTACAACCATTACTTAAACTTTTTAATCTGTCACTTGGTTCCTCAATTTTTCCCTTTATAAAAAGGGTGGTAAGTCTGATATTTCAAACTACAGAGGAATTGCAAAGTTGTCTGCCATACCAAAATTATTTGAAAAAATAGTTTGCAGCACTTTGCAGCACCTCTGTAAATCTGTCATATCTCCAGCTCAACATGGATTCATGAAGAGACGGTCTACTACGACCAATTTGCTGGAATTTACTTCCTTGGTAAATGAAGCATTTATTCTAAAAATGCAAACTGATGTCGTTTACACTGACTTCAGTAAAGCATTTGACTCTGTGAACCATGATCTTCTGCTCTTTAAGCTAAGTCGTATAGGATTTCCCTCCGCTTTTTTGAGTTGGATTTCGTCTTATCTAAAAAATAGGACCCAACGGATCTTGCTTAGGTCGCACATTTCTAAGCCCGTGTTTGCATCATCAGGTGTGCCTCAAGGTAGCCATCTTGGCCCCTTACTTTTTACATTATTTATTAATGACCTCCCCGCTACCTTGCCATTGCAACGTATATCGACTGTTGAAGACTTTGGGGTTCTTTCTGATTCCAAATTGAACTTTAACCTTCACATATCCAGTATTGTCAATAAGTCCAAGGGATTACTTGGATTCATTAAACGTTGGTCCAAGGAATTTAATGACCCTTATACCACTAAGCTTCTTTACACTGCTCCAGTACGCTCCGTGCTTGAGTACTGCTCATGCGATTGGTCTTCGCAGTATAGAAAGCATCAGGAAAGTATTGAGTCTGTTCAGAAGCAATTCCTTCTTTTTGCTCTACGTGGTTTAAGCTGGGATCCCAACCTCCGCTTGCCATCGTACTCTAGCAGACTGATGCTTATAAAACTTCCTTCTTTAGTTAATCGTATTTGCCATTCGTCTTGTCTAGGTGCACAACCGATTACGCTGCGCACAATCGTTTTCGAGTCATTTGTTCCAATTATAATGAGCTTTCTCATTTACTTTCAACAGAACTCTCTCTTTATTCTATAAAAGTTCTTCTTTATAGTTATCTCCGTGGAAATCTCTGACCACATACTGCTGTGAGTCGGGGCATAGCTGGCCGGACTGGCTTAAAACTTTCCCCCACCGGGTTGGAGATTTCCCTCTTTCTCCTTTTGTCTTTCTTGTTCCATCTTTCTCTTTCCCTGTTTCTCTCTTCCCCTTTCTCTTCCTCTTCCTTTCTCTCCCTCTTTACCTCTGTCTCTTTCTACTCCTTACTTTTTCTAATTAGCTCCTAAGTAGAATTAATTTTCCTCTTCTACATACTATTTGTTTAGATTGTCAGGTCTATAATGTCTCTGACCACATATGGCTGTGAATCGGGGCATAGCTGGCCAACTGACAAATAAAATTCCCCCAACGTGTCGGGGGCATTTATAGACGTTATTGTACAGCTTTTTTGTAGGCTTTCTTATCTTTTAAGTTGAGACTTTTTTATATTAATCATATTTGTATTTTTAATTTCAAATCTTAATATATATATATATATATATATATATATATATATATATATATATATATATATATATATATATATATATATATATATATATATATATATATATATATATACCTCTTTTGGTATTCGAAATCACGTAAAGGGTGTATAATTGCACATATACAAAGCAATTGCGTCTATGTGAGTGTATGTATGCTTATGCTCGTATATTCGTGTCTGTGTAAGCATGTTGGCAGTCAACCCAAGCACCAGCATCAACAACAGCCGCGGGCAGCGCTGCAGCAGCAAATATATTTATGGCTATAACTTCCGATAGATGATAGACCGATTTAACAAGGTCTATCATGATGAAACTTGGCATACGGACACATAATTACTAACTGGGGGTATTTGCAAAATTTTAGTTCGAAATTCCTAGAATTACGGGAGTTAGAGAAAATCGGGTTTTGTATTGCAGAGGGGGGAGGGGGGGAAATTCCAAAATACACATTTTCTGCGTGGGCATGTGGGACTAAAATTTGGTGTTCCTAGGTCTTATAGTCTCTGAGATATACGATTATACGAATGGAAAATCGGGAAAACCCCCATAAGGGGGAAGTGGCGGGGAAAAATAAAACAAACTTGCACAGCTTGCACACATAACGCATCTTTGTGCAAGGTTTGGTGTATCTACCTCTCATAGTCTCTGAGATCCAGGGTTCATACGGACAGACAGACAGACAGGGCTAGATCGACTCGTCTGGTCATGCTGATCAAGAATATAGTTGTATGTAGATACTTTTACACTTGAAATGAATACGCGTCGGTACTTTGATTTGTACTACCCGTGCTGTCGCACGATTTGTCCTTTTATTCAAAACTCACGCTGTGTTTTAGGGCAGCAGCGTGTGGAACTTGATTTTTATTGGACAATATCTATAATGAGGAAGGTCCGCATGCTGCGTTTGTAGGGCGCCGCATGAGGACGTCTAATTCTATTGGTTAGCCTATCTTAACTAACACAGTGTTGCATGCAGCTGTGTAAACCTTAATCTATAAACGTAATTCTAAACGATGCAGATGCGCGATCCTTGTCACTTAACCGTAATGTGTGTGCAGGCGTGGGATCGCGTTTACATAACGCAGGCAGCAATGTAACGTTCGTTGGTCTTTAAGGCAGTCGTGGGACACTTGAGCTAGTCCTTCAACGATGCCGTATGTTCATGCCTGAACAATATATGTATATACTTTGTGGGATCTGCCACGCCTCCTTCTGCCTGTTACATTTTCAGCTCACGCAAACCTAATATACTCTTGTACATTTTATGTACAGATTATAATTACCACATTTTGTGGATGGTGTCTACCTCATTTGGTATTTAAACTCACGTAAAGGGTGTATAGCTACACATTTACATAGGAATTGTGTCTACTTGAGAATATGCTAGTCTGTGAATACTGCGTGTGTCTTTTCAAAGCAGCAATAGGAACAACAGGGTGGGAGGGGAAAAAATCAAAAAAAAAAAATTAAACAATCTTGCACAACGTACACAAATGTCTCTATAGTGTTTGAGATCCAGGTGTTCATACCATTCTGATCCATCATGCCAAATGTACTAAACAAAGAAAAAATTGCTTTTGAAAATGTTAAATATTTGTAAATTAATTAACATTTATTGCCCTGTCAGTGCAAGACGAATGTATATAAATGTGTACATACATTCACACAATAGTGTCTCAAATTTTTCTTTGACTATTTCAATCGCTTGCACGCAACTACAGGAACACCAGCTTGTATGTGTGTGTGTATGTATAATAAGTTGTTGAAAATCAACACAAACATAAGTACCAATGCACGCATGTTAATATAAGCAGATAATATTCTTATTTTATCTACAAGTTAT